CCTCACCTGCCCGATCGGCCGCCGCCGCCGCCTCTTCCAGCTGAGAGGCCCGGGCCGGAAGTGACGCCAGCGCCTGCGCGCAGGCGCCGCGCCGCCGGGCCACGTGACCTCCCGGAGCGCGTCCGGCGGAGGTGTCCCGGCCGGCGTGTCATCAGTAATGGAACCACCACCGCGGGCTTAGGAACCACGTTTATTGGAAAAGTAGAAAGTGTCACAATAAAAAAAGTCACCTGGAGAAAAAGCTAGGCCAGCGGGGGACGGGGGGCGGGCGGATCCGGCCACCTGGGGTAGGTGAACGTCCTTTGCAGAGGGCAGTCCAGAGCCAGGGCCAGCTCAGTCCATCCTGGTGCCCTGGAACAACTCGAGCAGGTCCTTGAAGTCCGGGTCGATGAGGTCGGAGGGCAGGTCTCCATCGTCATTGGTTGCATCTCTGTCTGCCCCCAGGGAGATGAGGTACCTGTGTGAAGAGCCAGCGAGGCCCCCGGTGAAGTGGCCTGCAGGCTGCTCGCTGCACCCAGGCCAGAGGTTGGTCCCTGAGGTCAGCTGCTGGTATTTGCAGGTGGAGATGTGGGAGATACCCGACCCTCTGGAAGGACAGGGCCCTTCGATCACCTTTGCTCTGAGGAGGGCGACAGGGCCGGGGAAAGGCTTCCAGTAGAGCCCCCTTCAGCAGGGTAAGCTAGAGCTTGCAGCCCCCAGCCTCCCTCACCTGGCAATGTCTGGGTACCCGTCACTGCAGGCGATGTGCAATGCCGTCCAGCCAGTCTCATCGCGCTGGTGAATGTCCGCCCCATACTTCACCAGCAACTTTACACAGTCCAGGTTCCCAGACAGCACAGCTTGGTGCAGGGCGGCCAGTCCTGGGCAGGGCAGAGGGGTTTCATGGCAGAGGCTGACAGTCGGCAGACAGCCATCCTGCAGACCTTCAGCCAGTACTCACCTGAGGGGTGGATGGTGCCCAGAGTGACCTTCCGGGCCCTGATGAAGCGCCCCACCTGTACCAGGTCGCCCTGGCGGATGTGGTCCAAGAATAAGACATCGTTTGGGAAGTGGACACTGCGGTCAGCCAGCATCCGCCGCCGCCGCTGCTGTGGGCTGTAGCGGGTATAGCGAACAGTTCTGCTGGGCATGCTGAAGGGTTATAGGGGGACTGCCCGTGGGGGACCCTCAGAGCCAGTGGTGAGCAGCGTGCAGGGCTGGCAGAGGCCTGTACTACAGAAACCCACTCCGCCTTACATAGGCCCACAGAGCTATATAAAGCTGCATGGTCATGCCTGCCACCACGAGGGCCTGAAACTGAGCCGTCCCCTCTCTGCCCAAGATCATGTTTGGTGACTCATCTTTCAGCACACCTGTTGGCTGTGTCCGGCCAACGGGTCAGATTATTCCTGGCTAGTGTTCCTGCCCCACAGCTGGACCCAGAAAGTGCCCCACAGAGGGCAGGAGAAGCCCCAAGGAGGACAAGGGCCTGGTCAAAGCCAGGACCTAGGTCATTGACAGCCCCAGAGACTCAGGCAGAGGGGCATGATGGGTGGTAATCCAGGGACCCTGATACCAGTGGGTGAGCCCCCGTGACACCACGACAAAACGCTGCGCAGTTCTGTGCTCTCACTGTGGTGGTGGTGAGCTGTGTTGGAACTAGATGGTCCAGCTTCCCTTCTTGGTCCGTTTTAGCTTGGAAGGTGCACCCAAACCTGTTCCGCAGCATAGCAGTGGGCCAGCTTCCTGACAAAGGCCCAGTTCCACTGACTCGAGCATTCCACTAGCCGTTCCTTCAGCACTTGGGCCTTAAAGGCATTCCCTCTTACTCAGAAGCCCCAGGCTCCAAGTTCTCCAACTGTCCCTGTAGCCACAGGACCCAACTGCTGGTCCCACCCTACACAACACCTGGTTTTCGATTCCTGGCACTTCAGTCTACCTCACACTTAAGACAGCGTCCAGTTGACCCTGAGATAAGCTGTCCCATTTGACCCAGGACAGACACACCCGTAGGAGGGCGATGGGGAACTTTATGAAAAGGTGGTGCCCCAGCAGGCATCCTGTCTCACAGGCTTCTAACTGTGCAATAGCCCCAAGAAACAGGGCTGCCACAGCCAGGCTCCAAGCTGCCAGGGGTGTGGGTGCAGAGGGACTGGTACATGGGGGTGCTCCTGCTTGTGTGAAGGCATGTGGGGGTACAGGTACACAGGAACAGAGTTTGGGGTGGAGGCCCATGTGCGACCTTGGGGTCAGGGACACTTGACACTGGGGACTAAAACAAGGGCAGTCTGGTCTCGGACGAGGGACGTTTCCTAGGAGAGACCAGTGCATGTGGGGTAGGGGAGCTGGCACTGCTGACCAGCAGGCTTGGATCACCAGACTGCTGCATTCAAGCCTACAAAACAAGTGCATTAGATAACCTTAAGGTTCGGAGCCTTGTGCCAAATGCGTGGGGATAAATTGTACAGACTTGAAAGCGCTCTACCTATTCCAGGCTGCACAGCTGGGCTCAACACATTTGTGGCTGTGGAGACCTCCTCCTAGGAACCTGACCCAACAGGTAGCCTAGCATCCCCTAACTCCCAGGGTCCCAGAGCAGATAGGTGGTGGTTAGATGCAAATGTGGTCACTTGGGAGTAGTCAGCTAGAGTTTCTTCTGGCTCATTTACTCACAGCCCAGAAACTGAGAGTTCTCATTGCAAATGGGGAAACAGAACTTTTCCTTTGATGTGAAGATTTGAAGATTGTCTTTTCTTTAGGTTGTGGAAAATTCCCGCCCCACCCCCGCCCCAAGAGGATCAAATGAAAGAACACTGGCTTAAGTTAGGGTCTGAGCAAGCTACCAGGGAGGTCTGCTGGGCGACCCCAAAAAGGATCGTCCAGTTGCTCTGTTAGCAGAAAGCGCAGCCTTCTCTGGCTTTGGGTGTTCTCAGTGGATGGTGGATCGGAGAGAAGATTAGTCACAGAAGCCTCCCCAGGTGCTGCTGATCCCTAAAAAGATAGTGTACGTTTTTTTTTTTGCTGTTGCCATGGGAACAGATGTTTTGTAGACAAACTAAAGTGCCTCACTTTTTCAGACCTTTTGTCCGGACTGGCCTTCAGTTGGTCATCTTGGCAGTTGGCATAAGCATCTGTAACCTGGGTCAGAACAAACCGTATATTTCTGTAACTTTGTCTCTGGTCCTTCTTGGTCCGTATGAACTCATGAAGTGCCTTGGTGCTGTTCTTACTGACCATTCAGTCTAGTCTGTCCCATGTCGCTTGGTACCACTGAGTCGGTTCCGACTCATGTGACCCTACATATGGCAGAATGAAGCACTGTCCTGCTGCATCGTGGTGGCCACTGGTCAACCCAGCTCGTTGAGGGTCTTCCTCTTTTACGCGGGCCTTCTCTAGGGACTGATTCCTCCTGGTGACATGTCCAAAGTCTGGCAAGGAAGTCTCTCCATCTTGTCTTCCAGCAAGGAGCATGCTGGCTCTACTTCGAAGACAGCTTTATTCGTTCTTCTGGGAGTCCAGAGCACTTTCAGTACTCTTCACCAACACCACAATTCGAAGGTGTCAAGTCTCCGGTCTTCCTCACTTGTCCAGTTTTTGCATGCATGTGAGGCAACTAAAAATACCATGGACTTAAGTCTGGTGCGCCTTAGTCTCCAAGTGACATCTTGCTCTTTAACACTTGAAAGAGGACTTTGGCAGTAGATTGGTCTACCGCAAGACTTCATTTAATTTCTTGACTGCTGCTTTCATGATTGTGGGTCCAGATAAAATGAAATCCTTGACGATTTCAATCTTTTCTGTTTATCATGATGTTGCTTATTGGTCCAGTTGTGAGGATTTTTCTTTTTTGTTTTTTATGTTGAGGTAGAATCCACACTAAAGGCCGTAATCTTTAATCTTCCCCAATAAATGCTTCAAGTTGGCTTCGCTTTCAACAAGCAAGGTGTGTCATCTGCACACTGCACGTTGCTAATGAGCCTTCCTCCCATCCTGATGCTGTATTCTTCAGATAATTCAGTGTCTCGGTTATTAGCTCAGCACACCGATTGAACTTGCTGTTGTTAAGTGCTATCAAGTCTCTTCACACTCATAGGGTTTGTGAGGAGCGGCTGGTGACCTTGAACCACAGACCTTGCAGTTTAAACTGACTTTGCAGGGCGCATCCCATTAACCCACAAAGCCACCCCTGGACTCCACACAAATTAAATGAGTCTGGTGAAAGGATATAGCTGTGATGCACACCTTCCCTAATCGTAGTTCACACACTACCCCATTCTGTGTGAACAGCTCCCTCTTTCTTGGTCTCTGTAGGTTCCACATGAGCACAATGAAATGCTCTGAATTCCCATTCTTCACACTGTCATCCAGAATTTCTTAGGACTCGTGGCAACCTTGTCTGTGCACAGTAGAGCTGAGCTCCATGAGGATTCGAGGCTATGATCTTTCAGAAGAGCATAGGTTATGATCTTCTCCTTTGTAGAAGACAAGGCAAACTTGTCCTCTATGAAATATGGCCCAACATCCAGTTTTATTAAATGGCGCCGAATGTTGCATGTGCTGGTTACAGAAAGCAGGGTGCAGACCCCCCAGTGGCTGCAGGGAGGGCTACCAGCCCTTCCCGGCAGCTGAGGCCGTTGGGCCCAAGAGTTACTCTCAGGCCTGGCAGCTTTCTTAGACTATAGGGCATCCTTCCTGCTGCTTAAAAAGGGATGAGGGAGAAGGCCTGCTACTGCTAAGCTTTGACCAGCAGCGCACAGTCCCTGCAGCCACCCCGACCCCTGCCACCACTGGCAGCCTGCCTGACCCCACTTCTAGCCAGAGGTGACTCCCACACAACTGTGTCTCCCCCACCCGTGTCCCACTGTCCTCTTCTCGGTGTGAGGTGCCCCTGAGTCGCCGACCCCAGGTACAACAGAAAGAAACCCTGCCCGGCCCTACTCCATCCTTACACCGTTGATTTGGCTGAGTCCATTCTTGTCACCATTATGGTAACCCATCTTCCTCATTTGCTGATGTCAAGTACGATGTCCTTTTCAGTGTCCACCTGTGTCCTCTGTGCCTGGGAGCTGAACTCTCCAGAAACTAGCCTGACACAGGTCTAGCCATGGGACTCAGGTGAATGAGAAGCTGGTCACGGGGGGGGTGAAGAGGGCACCAGGGGCCTTGTAAATGTTATGGCCAGAGCATTTGACCTCTTACCACCTCCAGCTTCACAAGGGAAGGAGAGCCACATACAGCTGATTCCCACCTCTCTCCGACGTTTTTATCAATACGACAGCAGCCTTTGTCCTGCAGCACTCTTGCCTCTGCACTGGGGGTGAGCGCTCATCCTGATGAGCACACAGAACTCCCGGACCATACCCGACAAGTACAGGGTTTACTAGCTGAGTAACACGATAGAATTCCCATCAGGATCCGCTTAGAAGTAACGAGAAGACTCAGAATTACAATCTTAACCAGGACAGCTGCTTCTCGCCCTCTGCTCGGGGTCTTCTCTAACAAGTATTACTTCGTGGTCCTGGAAGCTCACTGCACACTCTCACAATGGTCTCCTGGTTCTGCTTCCCACCATCTTATACCATCTGTGGGGCTACAATTCTACTCTGTCTCTTGGGTCCAGCGCAGGGAATATGCACTACACTCCCATCTCTTCTTGTGGGTGCCTTTGGGATGGTTCTTTCAAGACCAGTGGGAAGATAGAACTGACCAACCTTCTTACTTGCCTGATTCCACCCCCTGGTATGGTGCTGTAGGATAAGTATTGAACTGCAAGTTCAATTTGAGCCATAAAATCAGCAATTCCAACCCACCAGCTGCTCCTTAAAAACCTCATACAGGGTTACTTCCTATGAATCAGAAGTGACTCAAAGGCACTCAACCCCCCCCCCCCCCACAGGTGGCAGTGGTGGTTTGCTGTGGAGTTGTTTCTGACCCATAGCGGCCCTGCATAGGGTTTCCGAGGCTGTAAATCTTTACTGGAGCAGAAAGCCTCATCTTTCTCCCACGTTACAGCTGGTAGTTTCCAACTGCTGACCTTGAGGCTGGCAGCCTGACCAATATGCTCCTGACCAGTATGCTCCCCGCCACAGGTAGCAGCCAAGAAATTCGCTCCACAAACAGCAACGGATGCATCGGATTAGGCAACTCTGCTGCAAAAAATCTCTTTAAAATGTTAAAAAAACAAAGACGTCCCTTTGAGGATTAAGGTGTGCCTGATCCAAGCCCTGGTACTTACAAACCCGTCCTAGGCATGTGAAATCCAGAGAACTGATGTCTTTGAATAGTTCCTTGGCTAATTTGATACTTCACCACCTCTTTCCCAGGGGTGCCATGAAGCTCATTTGTATTAGTTGTCCAACCCCCTGGGCAGGCCACAAGCACCTCGTTTACATAGTGTGGGAGTTACAAAGGCTCTGGACTCCTGGTGTGGCACTATAGGACCAGCATTGGACTGGGAACCTCAAAGTCAGCAGTTCCAGCCCACCAACTGCTCCGACTTAATGGCATTTCACAACGAAGACTATGACTACAAGAGCCATGTTAATTCAGTGCAGCGTGGGCTCACGTGCTGTATACCTCACAAAGGAGCCCCAGTGGCTCTGTGGGATAAGCACTAGAAAGCTAACCACACAGTCAGTTCAAACCCACTCTGCAGAAGATGTGGCCGTTTCCATCAAGACTTACAGCCTCGGAAATCCTATGTGGGGGCGCCGAGTGTGAATGTTCCCGACGGCACTGGGTTCGGTCAGCAGGGAGAAGACGGGCCCGGGGTTTGACTACACGAAAGGCAGGCTAGCGCACCTGGGGTCTCAAGGTGGAGGTGACTGCCCCCACATCATTGCTGAGGATGATACCGCTTGCCACTGTACCACCACCAGGGGCCCATAGCATGTGAACAGCAGGTCTGGTAAAAGACAACTGTCCTACTCCCAGAGGAAGTCGATACAAGTGTTGGGGCCTGAGACATTTCAGGGAGCACCAGAGCCCCAGTCGTATGATCAAAGATGAACATGCCCTCCCTGCTACCGTGTGCCTCCCCCTCTCCTGGTTCCCTGGTATCCACAGTGGGCCGGGACACATGAGGCTGTCTCTGGGCACCTTTCTGGGGGACTTCACTAGAGCTTGAGTGTCACGAGCAGCCCCCCTCTGCAGATCAGAGTCCTGCTGAGCTCCATGAGGGTGAACCAGGACGGACAAGTCACAGCGCAGAAGCAGCGAGTAGTAAAATTTCAACTTTATTTGGCCAATTTCAGTGTTGGGTAGACACGCCTGAAGACAAGGGGCTCAGCTCAAGCCGCCTGCTACCACCCAGCCAGCCCTGGCTCCCAGCCTGGAGCCTCCACCAGCCTCCGGCCACCACGCAGGGCAGAGGACCTGGCCCTCAAAGCCAGGCTGGGGTTGGGGAAGTGCCACCATGGCTGGCCTTGGGTCTCAAGAGTGAAATGACAGCCCCTTCCCATAGTGGGACCCACCTGCCTGCCAGAGATGCAGAAGTCTCAGTTTAACCAAAATAAAATAAAAAATGAAGAGCCGTGCTTTGTTGTGACCACACTGGCAGGAGGTGGTGTGGCCGGGCCCAGCCTGAGCTGCTCCTGTCCCCTGGGGGGGATGGAGGTGGAGTTCCAGGGAGAAACACGCCCTGACGCCCACACGTGTCTAGGAATCCCACAGGCAGCTTCCTGAAAAGCAGTGTGACGGCCAGTGTGAGATCCCCAGACACTGCAGAGGCAGCCGGGCAGGAATCAGGAACAAAATGCACATCACAATGGACAATGGAGGAAACGGGGCGAGGGCGGGCAGAGACAGACCCTTCCCAAAGTGGAGCTGCACGGGGCAGGAGGTGTGCATGTGAGTTAGGGGGAGCGTTAGAGGTCCCTGGATTTCTGGCTGCTGCCCCTGCAGGGTCCTGGGGTCTCCCGAGGCACCGCTGCCTGCAGTGCCGCCCGAGGTGTGGGCGTCTGCTGTCCAGGTAGGCACGGTGGCCTCACAGTTCGTCCTTCACAGCTTTCTGGTCATCATCCTCTTCCAGGTCTGGCTCCTCAGCCTCCTCCAAGTCCTCCAGATCCTGGTGCATCATGGGGGCAGGAAGAGCCATTAGGACCACCACACCCACCTCACGCCCCAGGTATGTATAGCACAGCCCCTTCAGAAGCAGAGGTGGACAACCCCCACACCCCAGTGCCAGGGCCCTGAGAAGAAGGCCTGGGCGGATGGGAGAGACCAGAACACAGAAACCACCGCACACTTAAAAGACAGCTTCTTGGAAGCAAAGGCTCCCGTGAGGAGCGGGGCGGGTGGGGAAGGACCCCAATCTAGCACAGTGGGGCTGTGCCCTGACAGGAAGATACGAGTGGGTCCAGCAGCAGGTGCTGTGGGGTCAGATGCCTGAGGACCAGGGTTGGTGAGAATGACACTTACGTCTTCGTCCCCTGCCCCGTCCTGTCCACCACTCTCCAAGAACTTCTTGAACCCTTCCAGTGTCCGCTCCCCATTGTAGTCAATGACCTGTGGGGACACTGGGGGTGAGGCCCGCCCACAGCCGCGCCCACCCGCCTGCCTGCCTGGCCCGGCCCGGCCCGGAGCGCACCGTCTTGTCGGCGCTGGCGGGGAAGAACTTGAGGGTGGGAAAGCTGTGCACTTTCACGGTCTCCACCTCGTTGGCGGTGGAGTCCATCTTGGCGATGACGATGTTCTCGTGGTCCTTGTACGTCTCACCCAGCTTGTCCCAGATGGGTGCCAGCTGTTTGCAGTGACCACACCACGGAGCATCTGCAAGGAAAACAGCTGTCAGCCCCCAGACCCCATGCACAGCGGCTGCCCCCCAAAGCCCCCACACAGAAGGCGCTCACAGAACTCCACAAAGACATTCTTCTTCTCATCAAAGGCAACCTCCTCAAAGTTCCTCCCGACCAGCACTTTGACGGGCTGCTTGTCCCAGTCCTCAGGCAGCTCCTGGCTCATCAGGTGGGGCTACGGCCAGAGGGTGCACGTCACGGGGACAGTGTGAACCACTGCTGCCCTGCCCACAAGAGTCCCACGGACACGCAGCCTCAGGAAGGCTAAGGGTTCTCACCTTGATCTTGCCTGCCAAGAACTGGTCACAGAAATCCTTGATCTTATCTGCCGTCAGCTCGTCAGACTCGGGCTTGTACTTGGTCATCTCCTCTTCCAGGGTGATGAGACGCACCGCAGGGCACTCCTCCTTCTTGAGGCCGAAGAACTCGAGGATGCGCTGGTTGTCAGTGTGGTCACTGTCGATGAAGATGAACAGGATCTTGGGGGAGAAAAGGTGTACTGAGACAATGCTAGGAGTGTCCACTTCCTGCTGCGGCTTCTTGGAGGGTCTCAGCAGCAGCCCCCCAACACTGGCAGGTAGTGGAGCTAGCTCACCTTGCCCTTGAAGCTCTCTGCTGCCTTTTTGAAGCTGCTTAGCTTGCCATCGTAGTCAGACACGCTCTTTGGCAGGAACAGCAGGATGTGAGTCTTGATTTCCCCTCCGAAGATCTTCGGGGCTGTCTGTGTACCAACAACAGTCAGATGAACTGAGACGTGAACAGCGCCTGTGTGGGGACCCCCCACCGCCCCACTCCAGGCCCACCTGCTCGGTGAACTCAATGACCAGCGGCAGCTGGTTGTGCCTGATGAAGTTGAGGAGGCCCTCCTTGGTCATCTCCCCATCAAAGTTGTTCCGGCCTTCATCAAACTGTGGACAAAGGAGTGTCAGGAGCAGGCCTATGGCCCCCAGAGCAGTTCTTGCCCACAGTGCATGACAGCCCGCCCCCCACACTGCTGCCTCCCCAAGAGCCAGAGCTGACCCAACCATGCCATGATCCACTCAGGCTTTCTGAGAGCCCTACCTCCTGGGGGACTGAGAGCCTTCAGCTTTAACACGAACATAAGCCCCCTACTCAGTCTAGTGGTTCACACACAGGCCCCCATCGATCCCTTCAGAGACCTCACTGCCAGACCCCACTTAGCCTCTTGGGAGTGCATGGCTGAATCCCAAAGGCCGAGGGCCCAGCTCTCCTCCACGAAGCCACGTCCTTCTTAGCATGATCATTCTTTCATAAACACACCGTGTGCCTGATGGCTGTGGGATTTATTATGAGTCTTGGTGCGGCTTTTTGGGTTAATGCGCTTGACTGCAAAGTTGGCTGTTCAAGCTCACCCCAGCCACTGCTCGGAAACCCTATATAGGGTCACTACGGGTTGGAAGCAACTCAATGGTGCAAAAACAACAAAGTGTCTCCATTTTTCTGTCTAATGTGATTGATCATCTCTGGGCTGTGATATGCAGGCATGAAGGGACATCAGCCACTGTGACCTCAGGACGTGGTTGGCACAGGAAGGGCCACCACCGGAGGACCATGCTGCACAAAGTGCTGAGACTTCCTCCAGGACACCTCCCAGGTCTTACTCATGTTCCTCCTGGACTTTCTCCAGAGTGGCTGTCACCGTGCCCACAGCCTGTCACTTGCTGCAGAAAGCCCTGTGGCCATACACACGTGTGGGCTCTGCCACCAAACACACAGCTAACCATACATGGCGGTCACTGCTGAGCTCCTTACAGGGACAGGGGCGGTCAAGCCTACTGCCCCTTCCCAGAGCCACAAGGTGGGTGGACAGAGGAGCGCGTTCAAGTTCGCGGGGAAGACGGGCAGCTCTCAGTGGGGAGTGGGAACCCCTACACACCCAAGCCTTCCAGCAGCCCAGCACAGTCTGCAACCTCTAAGTTCCACTGAATCCAGACAAGAGCCTTCTAGAAAGATTGCCCCCGCTCCCCCCGGGAAGAATGGCCGGGCAGTGCAGGCATGGTACAGACCAAGCAACTCACAGCTCTAAACAGCAAGTCCTCAGTGCCCCAGGGGGAAGGAGCCACAGAAAGGATGTAAACGTCAGAACATCTGTGAGGTCCCCCCGCTGTCCTAGCATGCTGGGTCACTGAGGAACTGAGGTGACCGCCCAGGGTGGAGCTGACTGCTCTGCTGCGCCCCCTCCTGGCTCAGCCACACCGCTCACCAGGAAGCCAAGTCCACAGCTGGCTCAGAGAGAACCTTTGCCCTGCTGGGGTCCACACTGCTGCCGCTATCGGTGGTCTAGGACCACAGTCTCTACACTGTGTGTGTGTGGGTGCTCTGCATGCGCAGGAACAACCCATCTCCCACCGTGACCCCAGAAGGCTCCGTGAGCATCAAACCCTCCTTCCACGGCAACAGGCCTGGTTTCTGATTACAAGTGGATTACAGGCGGCAAACCTAGGGTGACTTCCGCATAGACGGGAGAGAGCCCATAGAAAAGCCAGCCGCCCCCGTGGGGGTCAGATCTGGGAGATTCGGGTGCTCTGCCAACGGAACCAGCTGGGTGCTAGGCCTGCCCTGAAGCGAGGCCGTCCCTCAGTCACCAGCTGCTGGGCTCGCCGCTCATCTCAGCAGTTCGCTCAAAACGAAAGCCCTCTATATCTCCCGTATAAACTACCACATAATTCACAATAAAACAGTCCTCTTCTTTCCACTGGAAAAGCCGAGATGAAGTCAAAGGTCAGAAGCCCCCTTCCTGTCCTCTGCAGAGTGCCATATCCAAGAGAGAGTGCTTGACCCACCAGCTGGCCACAGCACCCCATCAGTAAGAGGGTGATGAGCAGTAAGGGCACTAGAGTTGGCACAAAGCTTGACAGACAGCACGCCTCACAGAGAGGAATGACAACCACGCTGGCAACTCAGTCTAGATCCTGGGGCGTTGTCAGGAGGGTGGAAAGACTCCCCTAAAAGCTTTCGCTCAGAAATAGCTTCACCAGTGCCTTTACTGAACAGAGCCCACTGGCCACCACTGAAGATGGCCCACAAAGCCCTGCTGTGGTGGCCGCCACGGCCCATGCTGCTCTGCTGGGCCTCTTGGGGACAAGGTCCTGCCCAGCAGTAGCTGCCCCACCCCGACAGAGCAGCAGCAGGGTGAGTGGGCAGGGCTGCTGGGCGGCTCACCTTCTTGAAGAGGACAACCCCGTCCTTCTGGAGCTGGTACTTGGAGAACACGTCACTGTTGGAAGTGATCCCAAAGGGGATGTCATCAATGGACTCTGCCGCCAACAAGAACTGCTTGGCAAAGTCCGACTCCACGTCCTGCAAGAGGAGGCACCAGGTGACCACACAGTCGAGCACCAACTGCCTGCTGAGGGCTGAGGTAGACCAGCCCTGGGGACACCCCGGTGGGACTCAATTATCTACCTTGAAAAAGCCAATGACAGCCACCTCACTGGACTCCACCAGGGACTCAGCAGCGCTGCCATCAGCCAGCGTGGTGGCGGCAGGGCCTGTACGCTTCTTCAGCCAGTTCACGATGTCATCTGCCTCCCTGCCAGCTGCACCCAAACACAGGCAGGTTGTGTCCTAAGGTCAGGTGCCTGGACACAGGCCACCTCACCTGAGCCTGCCAGGAACCCAGAGCGGCTCACCCTCCGACCAGCTGTTTATAAAGCAGCTCTTCTCAGGGTGAGACCAGCGTTGTTTGAGGGGCAGGAGCAAGACGGCGCTGGTATCACAGACTGTCTTTCTCCTCTAGTCCCTTCACGTTGTTTTCTACACCGTACCTGACCTGTGAACTTACTAAACACATGCACACACACCTTCTGTCCCTCTCAGGATCTCAGAAAGCCTTTGTCTTGACTTTAGTGACATGGGGTGACTAAGAGAGGTGGGGCGGTTAACTTCCAGGTCTGTTTCTCGCCCACAGCCCTAGGCCTCACACAGGTGGGCCAGGCGCTGTGTCCTTGGCCTGCTGGGTGGCCCACCCAGACTAGACCACAAGAACGTGAGGGAGCCTGCTCCTAAGGCCCTGAAGAACCACTTCCCCTCCTTGGGTCTGACTGACTACCTAGTTCAGTTTGGGAAGGGCACCAGCTCGCAGATTGAAAGGCTGACTCACCAGTTGTGAGTGGATTTAAGAGCTGTCAGCTCACCTACAAACCCAACTATTAGCATAAGCCAACTATCACTATGGCCAGCTCTGGTCCTGGCACTTCCTGTTCCGAAGGTAGACACCAGTCAAGGTGGGAACCGCGCACTAGCAGGCACTGAGATCGGGGTGAGACAGTCATGTCTGCTGGGTCCCTGGGAGAGCTAGCTACAGGCCAGAACCACGCGGCTCTGGCGGACGTGCTGCCTGTCCTGACAAGACTCTCCCTGGCCACAGAGCACTGTTCTGCTTCATGCTGGCTTCCTTGGTGGGGCTCCGTCAGTACAGACAGGGCTGGGGTGCTGGACACCTACACACTCGAGCACTCAACAGTTAGCGATGGCCCTGCCCCAGGTGACATCAGAGGACCCCATTTCAGAACACAGAGCACCCTCCCACTTGAAGATTCTTCCACGACAGAGGACATTCCTCCATGGACCTCTTTAAGAGGCAGAGAGGTGCTCTGAAAACTGCTTACCACCTCTCAACCTGCCCTGTTCGCACTCCCAGCCAACAACTCCTCCAGGGCCAGCGGGGCATTCCCAGGGCGGGGAAGCCGGGTCTCAGCTGGACCAGGGGGCACCACCAAAAGCTCGCGGGAAGCTGCCATTCCCTTTTCAGTCCATTCCCATGAACTTTTTGAAGCCTCTGGGGGGGAGCTGGGCCCCACCTGTGTATTCTTTGGGGGAAGCTGTGTCTCCATTCTTGAAGAACTTGATGGTAGGGTAGCCACGGACGCCGTACTGCTGAGCCAGATCGGACTCTTCGGTGGCATCCACTTTGGCCAGTCGGATCTCGGAACCCTCTGACTTCAGCTTCCCAGCTGCTTTGGCATACTCAGGGGCCAGTGCTTTGCAGTGACCACACCAGGGGGCATCTGAAAAGGCAACCCTGAGGTTAGGGCCCAGCACCAGGGTTACCCGGGGGGGCCCCTCTTGCTGCTTACTTCACAAAAACCTTATCTAGCGCCGAGATAACCCCCTGAGCTCACTACACTGCATCAGTATCTTGGTGGTCTTGGGCAACACTGAGACGGGGCCGTGAGGGACAGACCACCACACGCGGGTCCCGCGTTACTGCAGGCATTTACTAAGAGCCCAGGGAAAGGTGGATGGAGAGTCAGGGGCGTGTAACACGCAGATGTCCCGGGCTCCCCACCGCCGCCAGGCTCAGCTGCTGGACCCGGGCGGGTGGCGGCTGAGCCATGTGGCCATCAGGCACAAAGACCCCGACTGGTGCGGCCCAGCAGTCACCCCGCGTCCCCAGCTCCAGGCTTCCATCTTAGAGGAAGGACGCCCTTTAAGGGACACGGCGAGCCTGGGGACTCGGACAGAGCCTGGCCAGCCTGCCATGAGAACGAGCCGAAGCTCAGAGACCGCGGCTCGGGGGACTGGACAGTGGGAAGGGCAAAGCTGGCCCGTCCATCCCAGGTCTCAGGGTGGCCATAGCCACCAGTGTCTCTATGGGCCCATCGCGAGCGGCCAGAGACCCAGACCATCCCTCCGGCTGGCGTCGGCCCCGAATCTGGGACCCAGGGTCGGGGGTCAGACCCAGGGTTAGGGGTCGGCCGCAGCACTCACAGAACTCCACTAGCAGGTACTTGTGGGCCGCCAGCGCCTCCTCGAAGTTGCTCTTCTTCAGGACCAGGACGTGGTCCTCCTCCTCGGGGGCGTCAGCGCGGACGCCGGTGGCCGCGGCCAGGGCCAGGCAGAGCAGAGCGCGACACAGCATGTCGGCGCGGGCAGGGAGGCTGGCGCTTCAGTTGGCGCCGCCAGGACAGCTAGAGCAGAGCGCGCGCCCGCCCGGCCTCGCCTTTATACATCCGGCTCGCGAGCGCGCCCCCGCCCCTCGCCCGTTCTGCCACCGCCCGCACGAGCAGGCCGCACACGTCCCATTGGTCGGCGCAGCCCGGGTCCGGCCTCTGCCGCGCTCGGATTGGATGCCCACGCCAGACCCGGCACCGGATTCAGAATCGCTCCGGAGGCCGCCCTCGCCCTCTCCAGGATTGGCGGCAGGGCTCGCGCTGGCGCTCTGTCCCGGCCTCTCATTGGCTCTTGGCGGAGAACTTTCTCTCCTGCAACTTCTGACTGGCGGCTTTCTCACGTATCTTCCGCCCGATGGGAATGGTTGAGTCCTTTGGGAGCCCGGGCTCCGCAGCTCCTGATTGGTCGAGAGATGCGCGTACCCTGCGCGTTCCTCTGTCGAACGTGGCAGTGGGGCGGACCCCATCTGGGGGCGGGGCCGCGTCTGCGTCTCCAAAGCCCTTCGTGTTGTATTCTGACTGGACAGCGTATCTGTAATGGCCCCGCCCCTCCGGCCCACGGGCCGGAAGTTGGAGGGAAGCAACTTCCGAGAGCGTGTGGCCAGTGCGAGTCATGTTCGGCGGCCGTAACAGGGTGTTGGGTGCTGTGAGCACCCTGAACCCCCTACGAGGCGCGGGGAGGCTACAGAATTTTCATCAGTTGCTACCCAGTGGACCACATGTGTGTCAGAATAGATTTGTGTCCGCCATAGCTTTTCCTGGTGTTATGGAAATAGATCGCCCGGTCTTTCTTCCAAGGCATTTTTCTGTTAGCAGCAGAATGCTTTAACCGTCCACACCACCATCCAAGGGCTCCAGAACTGGGGTGGGAGGGCTGGACGTGGTGGCAGACAGCTCACTAGAAGGGCAGGTCGAAGGAGGGAGCCAGGTTGGCAAACAAGTCAGAGCTATTATGTTGGGGAAGGTCACACAACTGCTGAGTTGACGCTGCCCTGGGCAAAAGGCTTTCAAGGTGTGGCCCTTTAGTTTATCTCTCCCTCCTGCCCCACTCGCTGCCAAATCTCAGGGGGCGTTCCCCACCTGTGATATTTCCTAGTCAGGTGTGCAGGTGGTAGCTTCAAAGGTGTCCCAGCCCCCCCCCCCCCACACACACACACAGCTACACACACACACACACCTGAGTCCCCTCACCTACTCACACACTGAGTCCCCTCACCTACACACACACAGCTGGGCCAGGATCTCAAGCGAGTCCTCAGACGGTGGAAGGTGGGAGCGGCCTTCCTCCCACCCTGTCCGGGCGCTCGCTGTTAAGAGGCGGCAGAGCACTCAGAATATGGTCTGTTGGAAAAAGTACTTTAAGCGTCAAATATACCAGAGTGCAGAGACGGAGGTCAAAAAGGAAGTAAAAAATGTTTTTAATTGAGCACATGTTGAAATGCTGTGTATATTGAGTTACATAAAATTCATCGCAAATTAATTTCACTTGTTTCTTTTTGTTGTTAACGTGGCTACTAGCCGATTTTAAATCACCCGTGGGGCTTTCATTACATTCTATCGGACGGTTCACAGCCTTCCATCTCCACCATTTACTCCCTTCTGCCCTCCCCACCCTACCCCCTTTTCTCCAGGGGTTCTCCCTCTCCATTTGCTTATGAAATACCACAGATTTTTAGGCTCAGCATCAATGTAATAACTTGGCAGGGGAAAGGGAAACACTCCCACGTTCCTTGTACATGTTGGCCAAGAGCATCCTGATGCAGAAATGGAAAAATCAAAGGCGCTTGTATACCTTCTAGAGTTTGTGTGTCAGACTGTTGCTTTTGAGGCACTTCCACACTGAAAATGGCAATTCCTTGAGGCCAAGATCATCCTCTGTCTCTAGCCTCCCCCAGGTCCAGGGAATGAGATGTACCTTGTACCTGCTCTGGAGACCTGCCTACTTCAACAGGTGATTTTATAGGCGTTGGATTTCTTGGCTAAGACAGGGCCTTGCCATTTCTGTAACCATTACTGTTACATTAGTAACTGTTAGTTATTGCTCTGAGATTGCTTCACACCCCTTTGCCCCATCTTTTAACGTTTATGGGTTTGTCACAACCTTGTTTGCAACCACAATTTGGGGCCTGAAGTATGAGATCCCTGAAAATACAGTTTAGATACCAGAATACGGGGGTTGATATCATGTTGGCCCGCGGGGAGAGAGGAAAAGGCGGAGGCACACTAATGTCAAAACAGTCTGTGGACAGGCTGCCCCAGAACAGCAGCGAAGCATTTGTAAAGGATGAACGTTCTCAAAAGGTTAGGATGCCCAGAACCAGGCCAGGGATCCTGAACAGTTTGTGCGACTTGGCACAGTTGGTTTCTGGGTTGGGTGGCAGAGGCTGAGCATAGCTGGGGGGAGGGCAGGCATCATCTGCAGGCAGGTGACAGGGCAGTCAGAGTTGCACAGCTGAATAGTTGTTCTGAAGCCCTCACAGCCTCAGTGAGCTGTGTGAAGTCAGGCAGGCATGCTTGTGACCTAGGATGTCTATCCTGGGCACTGATACATCCAGGCATCACTAATGCCTCGCCTCTTCAGTGTTGTCAGTACAACCAAGTCAAGCTCCCATGGAGACCCCAGCCATTGCTGGGCAGCGCGCGTCCAGGTTGACAGCCCTGCTGGCAGCCCCAGGGGACTGGCTCTGATGTCCCCGTGGTGCTTCCTTGACTGGCCTGGCCCAGGGTGTGGGGGCTGCAGGCTCACAGCTCAGGGCACTTGGCACCCATTCCTAAAAGGGGGTTTGAGTAAGGCAATGTCTGTTCAGCCTATTCTCCTGAGTTGACAGGCTTGGGACACCAGGAGGGGTTTGGAGTTGAGGATAGGCTCTGCCTACAAGGTCCACCTCAGAGCTGCCTGTGCAGGTGGTGGAGAGAAGTGAGGATGTTCCATAGATCCCCAACAGTGCTCATCACCAGGTCCCATCTATAGTCCCCTGCCAACGGGGTTCCATAAAGGGAACCGAGGAGAAAGTAGGGGATGTAGGGAGGAGGGGCTGGACCGAAGACCAAGGCCTCATTGAGTCAGGTTGGACTTGGAACCAGGGACAGGTCATGCACATTGCCCAGGTGCCAGGGATGAGGCCGGGACAAAGTCCTAGTTCTTGGCAGCATGCCAAATACAGGTTGGCACTCGGGGCTGAGTTCACCTCCTCTTCCTGAAGATGGAAAAAACCCAAGAAAACCTCCAAGACCTGTTATAATGCAGACTGGGCTTGGGAAGTGAGCAGGTGTGGCCGAAACTAGACCCAGGCCAGCTGCCTGGGGCCCCGCCTGTAGGGAGGGTTGGGGTGGGGCTGGCTGCCTCTGCCTCTACGATTGCCCTGGGGTGGCTGGCTGCTTCACCGGAGTCCCCAAGGGAAGGTAGGCAGAGCCTCCTGTGGCTGCTCTCACATTTCTGCCCAGCACGCACTGTTGGTCACCTGCATAGCTCTGGAAGGGAGGGTTCACCAAACAGGTGTCAACCAGTGACATCCAGTGTGACAGAAGGGCCCAGAGCCAAGTCCTGGCTGTCCTGGTTTGGAAGCCACCAGCTCTGAGTGTTCAGAGCCGGGCAGACAGACTCTGGGAAGGATTGGTCTGGGGATTGGGCACCCAGTGCAGGGAGCTGAGAGGAGGCCAACACATCCAGCCCTTGAGGTTGGCGCTCCATGACAGAACCAGGCGTCCCCACCGAGTCCTACAATGCCCCCATCCTGTTCTTCCATTTCACCAGCTACACCTCCGGGCCCAACCGTGCACTGAAACATACTGACCCTATTGTCTGGCCCCAGCAGCCCAGAACTCAAGAGCCAGGACTGTTTAGGACCCACCAATGAACTGTGAACCCACACACAGTCCATGGTGGTGCTCAGCAAGGGGCAGCATTTACTTCCCAGTTCCCAGAAGCCCTAAGCAATGCCCACACCACCCTAACCAGCAGTGGAGCCTGCTGGAGCCATCGCCCTCAGTGGTGACTCGGGTGCCGCCTGCGCCCGGGCCCCTCACAGCTCCATGTCTGGCCCAGCATGTCAAGGAAGCCAGCCCCAGTTACCCCCTCTCCCCCAACCTTTTGTGAGCCTCACTGGCCAGGACACCACCATGGGACTTTCTGCCAAAATCTTGATCCCCACTAGCCCAGCACAGCCATCAGGACTGAGGACTGGAACCGGAAGTATTCTTTCTGGTCCAATACACTACCTCTGAAGGGTGTGCCTGAGGCCCATGGGGCCTTAGTGGTCCTGACCAGCAGGGGGCACCCCCTTCCCACCCCTCCCACAGGACAGGAAGCATGGACCACTGGCTCCTTTGGGGAGTTTATTCCCAGTCAGAGGGGGATATAGGGAAGGGCTCTCTGTGGTCTTGGAGGCTAATGGCCCGGCAGACACAACACCATGACTAGGAAGGGGGCTGGGGGGGCACAGGAGACGGCTCCCAACTCCGTGCTTGGTCCCTGTCTGTCCTGGATAGGTCGGGGGGTGGCAGCACTGAGCCCGGTGGAGGTGGCAAGGGCAGGCCCAGAGGGCAGCACAGATGGAGGCAATAAATACTGACGGGCCAGCCATGGGGCGCCAGGCCAGGCCAGGCAGCTTCGTCCGAGGGCTCTGTTTGGTGGCAGGTGAGTGAACTCAGGACATGGCCTAGGCAGGACCACCCTGGCCATATGGGGCGGGACCCGGGGCGGCAGCTGGAGTTTTGGCAATTTGGCTTTCCCCAAGCCACAGAGCCGTCCCCACAGCCCTGGAGGCTGGGGGAGCAGCAGTACACGGACACCTGTGGGTGTGAGGGACGCAGACGGGACACAGACCACATGCTCATGCAGACACTAGGGTGAAAGCTTAGCGACGGGCCCACACACACTCCACATGTTAAGGCATCATGGTTACATGGTGACAACAGTCCCAGGAGCCAGAACCCTGCCCCATGCCGCCCTCGGGCAGGAAAGCTGACAGGAACCTGGGTACAGCACAGGCAGAAGCAGCAACGAGACACTGACCACGGTGACCACGGTGACCACGGCAGAGGCTGGGGCCTGCGGGAGGGGGCCGAGGGGAGGGGCCAGGGCTGCGGAGGGCAGCGTGGGGCCCTGTCAGCACTTTGATATGGGGGTGGGGAGGGGAGTGAGAGTAGGGTGGGGGTGGGGGGGCCGTCCGTCCGTCCCTCTCTGCTCGCCTCCTGGCCAGGGCTTAGTCCTTCCAGTCCTTCTTGATGGTGAGGTTCCACTCCCAGGACAGGTGATCTGTCTTGTCATCGTCTGTGAAGCGGGACTTGATGTTGTAGCTGCCCCGGGCCAGTATGCCTGTGGGTGCCTCCTCCACAGGGGTCAGGAATTCATACTCCTCTGCCCTCGGGCCGTAGCTCCCCACCATGTAGTCAGTCTTGTCCACTGCAGCCACAGAGAGCCTGGTCAGTACTGCCCAGCCCGGCGGCGGTCCCACCCCCAGCAGGTAGCCCCAGCGAGACAGTACACTCACGCTTGAAGCCTTTTCTGGAGGTGTGCTGGACGTACTTCATGCCGGACACAATCTCTCTGTTTACCTGAGCAGTGGGGGCCTCGTCAGTCCCACGTCTAGCCCAACCCTCCCGGTAGCCCCTTAGGTGGCCCCCACTCATCTTACCTGGAAAGAGATTTTGATCCTGTACTCCACTCCCTCCTTCAGCACAAATGACTGTTTCTTGAAGCTCTCCAAATCTCCTGTAAAAGAAGGAAGTCTAGCTAGACTAGGGGTTCACCACAAGCACCTCAACCCACAGCACTCCCTCCACGCCCACGCCCACACCATCTCCAGCTGCAACTTCTGCTCCCACCAGAGTGCGCGCTCTCAGCCCCCAGGCCTCCACTCACCTGTCAGGTCCAGCTCCAAGGGGCCTGGGGCTGTGCTGCACACCAGGGTCAGGCGGGTCACCACAACGTTGGGGACATTGGGGTCAGCAGAGACAGCCACACGGCCCAGCAGCGCCTCCTTGTACTTGCGCAGACTCTCATCATCCTTGTCCAGCTCCTGGATCTCCTGAATGCTTTTCTGTGCCGGCGGCTTATAGTTGACAGAATGCTCTTCCTCAGAATTCACAGCGATCTGTGCCAGCTGCTCCAACTGCTCGGCGGTGGGCTCCAGCTCAGCCATGCTGCTCGCCTGGTCTGCGACGCATGGGGGTGGGTGGGGATGAAGGCAGGCTGCACCCCACCACTGAATACAACTGGCCCTCCGGTCCCTCAAGCAGGAAGGCAGCTCCCCCTGCAGCTACGTGTCCCTAAGGACAGACAGAGCACACCCAGAAAACAAGCACCTGCTACACACACCAGTTCCCACGCTGCCCATCTCATAGGCTGGTTGGTTGGTTATGTGTCGTGGAGTCGATTCCGACTCATAGTGACCATGTACAGGGTTTCCGAGACTGCAAATCTTTACTGGAGCAAAAAGCCTCATCTTTCTTCGGCAGAACAGCTGGCAGTTTCGAACTGTTGACCTTGTGATTCCCGGCGCATGTATATAACCAGGTTGCTCACTACCATTCCCTCTGGGGGCCTTGCATGGGTAACCGAACTGTCCCCAGACCCACCTAGCCCAAGTGGATTCATCTCTACTGCCTCAGGAGCCCCTGGACCAGGCCGGGATACTGCTGGCCAGTCCCGGCCCATGACGCTCACTGATCACTAAAGTAGGTCTCCCTTGGGGGGCGGGGGGAGGCGCCTTCTATCCTGCCCAGGCGCATAACCAACCGTGCAAACTCCAATTCTACTGACGCTCAGGCAGGTGAGCCTAAGCCCCAAGCTTTTGCAAGGACCCCTCCGACCCTGGGGATGGCCTCCTGCACCTCGGGAGGGACTCCATCCTATTCCCAAAGGAGATATGCATGTTTACTGAAACCCGCTCAATCCCCCCAGGCCCTTGGGTTGCTCTGGGACGACCCGCAATCCCGGGACCAGATGGGCATCAGCACGAAAATGCTCCGCGCCCGGGGGCCCGTGGGTCTAGCGCTGCAATCGGGAAGCTCCGCCTCTAGAGCGCGCGCTCCGCCACCACTTCCGCAAGGCCTGCAATCTCGGCCGGAGCTCGGAGGCCCGGCGCCCCAACACGGAAAAAGAACGCTCACACCGGTGCAGGCGGGTGGGCGCGGATGCGTATGGGTCCGCGGGGCAGCAGGGCGGCGGCCAGCCCCAGGCCCCTTCGCAGCTCCGC